AAAATTACTTCAAAATATTGTAGAATGAAAAATAATTATCAAATAACACAATATTATTTAAGGGTAAAATAATAATTTGATTCAATAAATTTAATTTCAGAACAACATTATTCCTATTTTTCAATAAACCAATGATAATTAAAATAATAAATTACTAAAGAACATTATAAAAACATAATACTTAAATTTAATATTATAGAAATATTAAATGTTAGAAATTCAAAAAAAATTGAATTCAAAAAATGAAATTAAAATGTACAGGCAATAAATTTCAATAGACGAATAAATTAATTAAATATTATTATTCAAAACTTTAATCGTTTTAACTATAATATCTATAATAATATAACTATAAAATCAGTGTTTAAAATATTTACTTTAAAGAAAAATGCGTTCAAATTCAAAATTCTTTAAATTTAATGAATTTAGAAACAAATCAATTTTTGCTAAGGAGGATCCATTTACTACAATAAAATATTAAGTACGTAAAGCTTTCGTTGATAAAATTATGTTTTGAATCGTAGTAAAAATATATATATACTTAGGTACGTGAAAAAAAATACTTAATATGGATATATCAATTTGTTTTATAGTAAAAAAATAGTTAATATTTAGATTATACAGAACTTACTAAGAATTAAATAAAAAATAACTAACCAATCCTTAGTTGTTTAAATTTTAAATTTAACTTTTGAATACTCTAATTTTCAGTACATTTTAGGGTTGGTTGAATATGAAAATAGCATACTGTCTTTATTACTAATAACGAAACAGAAAACTATTGCTTACACACTAAAAAAAAAAAAAAAAAAACTGTGCGCGGCGCAGTAGATTCAAAAATAGATATAGCCATTGAATGATGGAAGATATGATGTGAACGGTTTTATTTTTTTCCGTCACCGATCAAAAGTGAAACGTTACCATACATAGATGAGACCTGCAGGGACAGAAGCACTAAAGGTTGTGACATAACCGCTTAACAACGTTGGCATGCAAACAGGGCGGGTATTTGACAAACGACCATAATGGGATTTTGATGGGTTCACCTTTTATACTTCTGACAAATTAAATTGAGCTAATGCTGCAAGAAAAAAACCTAGTAAATTGTAAGTATGATAAGATAGTGGTTTTCAATACAAAAGTAAAATTATGTTTTTCATTAAATTTGTAGAAAATCTTTTTTGCTTATAGAATGAATCACGAGTATGAACAGTAAACGATACATACCTATTATTAAAATCCTGTATAAGTTAGGTTGTTAAACTAATTTTAAATTAAAAACGTAATATTAGTACAACATAATAATATTATCTGAAGAATTTGAATTTAAGTTTTTATTTTTTAAACCCGGCAACTAAGGCCATTAGCTGTAGAAAAGTACAGTAGGTTTTTTTTTTGTATAGGGTTTATTTTAGAACACGTTGTTGTGTATGTGTGTGCATCATAGATTTGTCACTAAGAAATCGGGTGGTCACCCATCCGAAAGCTAGCGACGCCGGCCGATGCTTGACCTAAGAACACATTAGTGGTTGAGGCCAACCACTGCGCCACACTAGACCACGAATATTAGTTTAAGATAATATAGAACATCTTTTGTAATACAGGTCTTTCTTAAAAATTAAATAGTAATAAATTATATACTTTTATGTATTCAAAGTATAAATTAATATTATTAAAGAAAGATTATAGTCCCATGAAATAGGTAACGTTTTAAATAAAAATTTTATATTAAAATTATATTAAATGATGAAAATGAAATCATTGTTTTAAGTATATTGTTTAAATATCCCTAATAGCAAAATTATAAAAATAATAATTAATTGACTGAAAAAATATTAATGAAACTGATATATTATGATCACCAATCTAAAATTAATCGGTTGCTGTGTAATGTTTATTTTTATATGAAAAAAAATGAATTCCTACAGGAATATAAATTAATAGAATAGCGAAAACAAGTACATAAAACAATACGTCATCATGCGAGGTAAGTGTAAGTGCTCCATCTCTCATTGTCAATACTAAAAAAAAAGAAACAAAAAAAAAATTGTTTACGTCCCTCATACCAATATTTCATACAAAATGAATTTGATTGATGGGTTATTATAAGGTAAAATAGAAATATTTAAAAAATACAAATGAGAATTTTCCTTTCAATTTTAGATTAATTAATATCTCTCAAAATGTTTATAATTTTTAGGTTAGGTTAGAAAATTAAGAATATAAACGATTAAATAGGTGTCTATATTAACTATTTACTAATAAACGTAGTTAAATTTTCATGTGCTATATATTTTTTTAGATATTATTAGGTATTTATTAGGTATATGCATATACATTTATTTATGATATACAACTTATAATAAGTATGATCATAGTTCATAATAACTATTGACACGTGATAGATTTTTGTACTTTATATATATTTTAAAAAAATAGGTACATTTTAATTTTACTAGTCGCACATAACATATATTTAACCTACGGATTTTATTTTTAAAAAATTAATATTTTATAATATACTATATTCATGATATTACTCTTTATAATCATACAAATCACAACAAATATGACGTAAAAAAACAAAATTCCAGTTTATACGAGTACTTGAAGTCAATTAATTGCAGTGTACTTGATTACTCATTACTCATAATGCTTATATGGTAAATTTAATTTTAATTTTAACTGCCGAAAAACAACAAGATATTAGCTTTTCCAATCTCTAGAGAAAGTATTAATAATTAACAGCTAAATGCATAGTATTAAAAACTATAATTTAGCACACGAAATGGCTTTTAATTTTTATTTATCAGTTGTGAAGATTTTACAAAATTAGTAAAAAAAAAAAAACACATGCATGCACAGTCCATTTTTAATCATAACTACTTATTCTGAAAGCGTTAATATCTCATTACTCCAAGTTTTCTTTTGATACAATCGAAATGCATATAACAAGCTATTTAATATTAAGTTGAATTATAACAATGTTAAAAATGTAACAGATTACCATTAAATATTTTTGTCGCAAATATTATTAAATTTTATATTCCTATTTGTTAAATTAAACAATAGATTTAATATATTTAATTTCTCATGTTTACGTAAATACAATAATAATAAATTAAAAGTAATAATAATGAATCAAAACTAAAACTATTTTACAGAAATTAGTGAAGAAAATCGCGTATCAGTTTCCGTAACAATTTCATGGTTGGTGTTTATTCATGCGCATTATCCACTTAAGTAATTATTTATTGACAGTTCAGAAAAGCGGATAAAAAGCTTTCGAAACCTTTAAGTTTAAAAGAAAAGTATTAAGCTCTATAGTAGCTAACCATAGCGTACTCTTGCCACATGACCAATTTTATATTAAAAACTGGGCGTTATCCAAAATCAAAATTCAACACTTACAGAAATTGTATTTTGACGAAAAAAAATGTATTCAATTTTTTATAAAGTATAATTTATAGTTTTTAATTTGTATGCAAAATAATTCACGACCTGAGGGCAATCAAACTTAATAATATAAATTAAATGTCTTTTTTTTGGCAACATCGAGTACAACCAAGTTAATTATTTCATGGAAAATTGTAATATAATTTTAATTTCATTAAGATTCGGAAATAACTTTCAAACCAATTCAACAATAAAAAAAAAATAATAATAATAATAATAATAATAATAATACAAAATAATTTTTAAAAAAACTTAAAGTCCCGATGAAAATAAAATATATTATCTAAATTTTATTTTATTTTTTTACATTGAACTTTTTAAGAAATGATATGAACTTAAATGAAAAGAAAAATAATATTTAAAAAGTCAAATCATTAAGTAAATAATATATTGAATATTAGGTAGAATAAAATGTAACATAAATACTAAATATCAACTTGAACTTTATTATGTAGTTTTACTAACTACTAAGCAATATAAATTATGAATATGGCTTGGCGTGGCGCGTTGGCTGCTTCCAGTTGCGGAATACCTCTGAGAGTAAGTAACGGCCACAGCTACTAGCTCCCGAATGGGTGACCACTCGGGATCATAGTGGTTAAAAACCTTGCCACACATACACGTGTTTGCTATCAACCGTAACAATCGTAAAAATACAACCTACCGTACCAACCTTACCCCCTACAAACAGCTAAGTTAAACCAATATAACCTATGATCACCACATAAAAAGCTCATACAGATTTATTTATAGAAAAAAAAATATAAATGGAGTGTAAGTCATATTATAAGCTAATAAAATAAATATCCTATTCACTATTAAAATAAACCTATCTATATGCAATAACATTTATAATAATAATTTGACTAAAATTAATCTATAACTTTTTTCCTAATTGTTTTATCCGAGGTCATTTTTTATAAATTACTTGTACAATGATTAAACATACAAGAGAAAATCGTTTTATTTTTTTTATACTAAACAAAAAACTATAGTTGAAAGTATTGAATAGTATCCGAGTATAAGACATTGAAGAAAACAAATAAATACTCGGTCTTTTAATAAATTAAGTGAAAATATGATATTGATATTACAGGAGTATTATAGATAGTATTAAATACTTTTACACATTACTGAATAATACTTTTTTACCTTTTTATTCTTCAAAACCTTTCAAAGTAAGAACTTTATTTTATCTACATGCATATAACTTAAGTTAAAAAGTAAATACCATTGCTAACCGCAACACTTCAAACAGTATAGACCATAATTAATCATAAAACCAAACAGATATAAGATAAGAAGCAATTCAATCAAATATATATAATAAACACCAGGTTAAAATAAAATCACGAATTGTTGAACAATAAATATAACAAAATGTTAACAAATATATCTACAACGATTTATAAGTGGCATCACTAACATTCATCATATTATAAAAAATTATTATTTTTAAAATGTTTAACTATTAAGGTAACATCAATACATTGATGAAGGTCTGTCTTTTTTTAAGATATACAGTTATTTTAAGTATTATTTACCGTATCTGGACAAGTGTTCATCATTGGCACAAGGAATATTTCCGTTTGGTTCAATTCGATCAAGATACTCTTCAGAATAACCATTGAATTGCAATTTACTCGGCAATGCATCCCTAGATGTTCTATTGCGGTCAGGATCTTCTTTAGAAATAGCTAGAAAAAAATATGAAATTAATATAAATGTTATGAAATATAATCCAAAATATTTTTAAATCATACATACGATCTACAACTTTTTCATTTTAAAATATCATAAATATATTTTATAGTGTATACTAAAAATGTATTTTCTAGTCTAAAGTAAAAAATATTTTTCCTTATTGCCATTCGAAGAAGATTTACATAACTCCCTTCAATACGTATAGCTTTTTTATTTTTTTTTATTAAATATCATACTTTTAAGATGAACAAATATACAAAGTAAATCTGTGTCAAACACACATACTCAAAAGTTTAGTTAAACATTTATAAGTGTTCTATCAAACCCTAAATATTAAAATAATAATAGGTTAAGAAGCATTAACAAATCCCGATTCAGTATAATACTTTATAACTAATTATTTAACCGATTAAAACTACATTAAATAAATTTTTAACGAGCTCTAAAGTCCAATGAGCAACAGGAATGAGAAGACCTAGAAGGTGAGATTTCATATACTCGTAAATACAAATATTTAGTTAGGTGACACATAATACACACTATAATTATATAAATTTTTATCATTTAAAAATATACAAAAACAATTCCTAAATATATATTATTATCAATGATTGAATATAAAAAATAGATGTTCTTATAAATGTAATTAGCATTTTTCGAATAAATAATTAACTATCCAGTTTAATTAAATAGTCGAAAATTAAATAATACATAATATTACATTAAAATGTAATATAGCTATTAAAATGATGATACACATTCATCAAATAGCATTCCACTTTTATAGAGAAGTGTTGTCCCTATTATTAAATATTTTCTTTTCTTCGTTTATTCAATATCACATTACGTTAACAAAATACATTTAATATAAAATTATAAGCTAAAAAAGTTTAAATATGAAAATCATAATAACATTTAAAATGCACAAACAAACAATCATTAGATAATAAAAAATTAAAACACTAGATATTCTAGTAAGCTACAATTTAGCAGCATCTAAAACAATATGTTTTAGAGTAAGTTAAAATAAATATTAAAGCTGTATTTTTTAAACGTTTTATTCGGTTGAATCATTTAAAATGGTTTAAATTTAATAAATAAAATAAACTTAAAGACTTAAAAATTAATTAAAATGTTTAAAAATCAAGCAGAATGAGAATTGTTTATATTTGTAGAAAATTATTTCAAAAAAAAATACAAAATCATATCAATATATATATATATATATATATATATATATAATTCTTAAGAAATTATACACAATATAAATATTTATTTTTTTTTAAATTAAATTAATTTTATTTGAATAAATGCATGTTAGTACGTTTTGTACAGTTCAACAATTTGTAAAATTTAATAAACAAAAGAGATCATTGACTATGAATACCTTTCAACTTCGTAATCAAAATGTAAATCCTATTATACTTCAAAGTGGAAAACTATTTGGCTGATACAAAAAATTTTGCATTCATTTTTCCAATGCATATTGGCTTTGATTTTAATTTACAAAGTTCATTATTATTTTTGAATTCATTAATTAAAAATGTTTTTTAAATGCACTAAACATTAATTATCATACATAATATCTTATTTCAATTTGAATAATGGTAAATCAACTAACATTAAATTGAAAAAATAAAATGAAACAAAAACAAAATATGAGTGATTCAATCTGCGACATGAATACTTTGTAAACATAACTATGCGCGCGGTAATCTCCTTAAATACATTAAACTAAGATTTTATAGTACACTTAGGTATAATACACAAATAAATATTATTACTGAAGATATAATATAGATAAACTTGTTATAATTATTATTTTATTTAAGTAATAAAATACATTTTTAATTTCATATTTTGAAACAGAATATTTTTCTAAAATCTTTGATATAAAAAATTTAAGTTCAAACAAATAGTTAATTTGTAATAACTTTATACCTATAAATATATTCAGTTTAGTGGAGGAAATGGATCAACGTTTTAAGTCATACAACAGGACATACTATTACTAAGCTTAAATAAACTTAAAACAATTACAAATGTAATTCATCACTTTGTTCAAATTCGGATTTTTATAATTCAACTGAAGGAAAAACAGTCTGATTTGGAAAAATAAATCTTAAAACGTTCTTAGTTATTCAAAAAAGTAAAAACTTAAAAATGTTATCACAAAAAAAAAAAAATAATGAAAATAAAACTTTTTCAAAAATTTATATGCAATGTATATTATAGTATTATACATACTATAATCAATTAAAATTTAATAAGTCAACATAAAATGAAATTTATCATGTTAATTGTTCGTAACAGTATATAATAATGTATAATATTTTAAAATATGTATTATTCTAACTTAAAATATAATTACATTTCAATTAAAAATGTACTTTAAATTAAGTAATAAAAGGAGTTTTATTTTTCAGACAAAAATACATCATTACAGAATTATTGATATTTTGTTCATTGAACTATAAACCAACTTTTTATGAAAGTAATTTTTTAAAAGATTTAGGTAGATTATTAGGGATTTATATCTCATAGATATCCAGCTTTTCAGTTTATAGAATGACTTTTAGATTAAGGAAGTAATGATTTTTATTTTTTACGATGATTTCATACTTGAAGTGATTGAAATAAGTATAATCCAAAACATGCTTTTTGTAAAATAAAAATAAGAATTCATTTTCTTAAAATGTTTATCATTACTATTATATTTTTATTTATATTATTTTTTTATCATTAATATACATATCTGTAGGTAACTTAATGTTATCGGAGCAAAAGTATTAAAATTTAAAAGCAATTTTTTTAGAGAACAGTATTAAATAATCGTAATTTATTTAAGTAATGCATTTCATAGTTAGTTATCTACTTGAAATTAAAATTTACTGCGTTTAATTTAAATTCTCAAATGAATTAAAAACAATACAACTAAACGAGGCATAGAACATAATAACATAATTTAGACAAATACACATATTGATATAATACATAGTACCTATAATACATATACATAACATTATATTATTATATACAGACAAAAATGGTAAACAAACAAATCGCTCTATTACAGTATTTTTGTAAGCCCAAACCTTTACTTACGAATTATTTGTTAAACGATTTTTTGGATAGTATATATCAAACAAAAAATAGAATATATTTTTGGTAGAAAAGTAGCAAAGCAGAAAGATTGCTGATCGACAGGAGATCTGAAATCACAAACCGTAATGTGTTCCGACAAATGCTCCAAACTTATTGATTTGTGGATTCGAGGAGATTACAATCGTTACCGATTTGTCTGGATTTACGAACTTGTGTATGGTTAGAAGTTATCCGTGTCTTAAATCCCGAGGGGATGCAAGTTATCAAGGGACGCATACACCCTATGTGGTACATAGTATATCTCATTTGCTGTTCGAGCACTATAGGTGACACACATGTGTTTCCTTTTCCTTTAGGCATTTTTATTCCAATAAAATGAAATAAAAACGATATTTTAATCGAAAACACAGACTTAATAGAATAACACAACTTTCAAGTGAACTAATTGAAACGGGCTAATAGGTAAGGCAATTGATTTATTTTTGGAGCGTAGACGATTAAACTTCTCGGTTCATTAATCAACCAACCCTCATTAATATTTTTTTAATGACTCAGGGGAATATTTAATTATATAGACATTTTATTTAAGCAACAAAATATTAGTTGGAAAATTACTAGGTGTAATTGAAAAACATGAAAATTAATACATTCCTTCAATAAGATTAACACGGATGTAGAAACATTAAGATTAAAAATGAAAAACACTTCATTGAACCAGTATAGCATTATCCTATTTCGTCAATAAAATAATTAATATCTAACTAATGTTATGTATAATGTATATCATAGATAACTGGCTATTTTCCATATTGTTTGGTGTTGCTGTACCGTAAAAAAGTTACAGTCCATAAATTCTTAAAACATAACACAATTTCTAGAACCATAAATGTGTTTCAAGCGATTAAAACACATTAAATACGTAAATTGTATATCATCATTAAGATAATACTAATCAAAAATAAATTATATGTATGTAATCAATAAAATATAACTTTACATCTATAAACGAACATTGGTTTGTTATTTCGTTTGTTTTTAATATGTTAGTTATTATACTGATATTATTTTAACAGACTTTATACTAAAATACTCATTAAATTTATATTTTACCCAAAAATATTTAAAATCAAAAAACACCAAAACATTAAAATAAAAAATAGAAAACTTATGAATAAGATTATGGATATATTTTGGATTTATAACAACTGTGTATAGAATACATACTATATTGTAATAAAAATTAAAATACTATAATATACAATATTTTAGTCTTTAAACAGAAAAAAAAACAATATATATAAATCACTATAATTTATAATAATATTATATCATATAGATGTGTAGTTTAGTAACTCAATTTAACTACAAAAAATCGTTGAAACTAAAAAATAATTGCATCAATCTTTACAGGTATATTTAATAAAATTCATAATAAATTTTACCTAATAATACTTATACTTGTTTATTTTATTCGAGGAAATAAATAGCTGTCTAAAAATATATTCACATAAATTGTATACACAATTTTACAATTTATGAGAATTCAATTCATTTATAAATAATTTATTTATCATATAGAACCTGCCTACGTCTAAAGCTACGGTTAGAGTCTTGCGTAACAATGAAGCTGGGTAGCCCTTGTCTAAAAACTTTACACAAAACAACAATATCCAAGCCATTAATATATCAAAACCATTATACTGTTACTGAACTGTTAGGGGTCTTTCCAGTTTCCTATTATTGTTACCAAAAACAACAACGAAGCAAACCATTGGACGATTTTAATATTTGAATTAATGTATCAACCAGATGACGCCTATGCAGTTGAGTTATTATATTATGTTTTTATTTTTCATACGAACAATGATTCTATCATTTTCAAATTATT